ATGTTGCCTGCAGCTAAAGCTCCCGGAGCAGTAAGTCAAACGGAATATATAAAAAAAAACATTTCTGGAAAACAACAACCCCCTGGTGGGAAGCTACTGCTTGTCAACTTGGTCTCTGCAGAGAGAGGCAAGATTGAGCAGAGGCTGGTAAATTTAGCTGCAGAGCACGCAGGCTGGTTCACCACAGGCAGTGTGCAGGGGAGGCCTCCCTCAAGGAGCCGTTGGTGCTTGTAAACAATATGTCAGAATGGAGAGGACATTTTTCTCAGGAAGACTCCTGAGGCTGCTGGATGTCAGAGTGACTGACCCTGTATCTTTGTCTCCAATCGGTGGAGCGGGGTGAGCTAGAGAGCTGCAAGGAGGGCAGGAAAACAGCACGAGGTCAGTGACTATTTTTAACTCCTCTTAAAAGAAAATCTCTCTTTTCCTTCTGCCGTTTTATTCCCATTTCACATGGGAAAGTTTCTTGCTCTCGCTCTCTCTCTAACCGCCTACCTGTGTGTCTAGCCTGCCTCCTTTGTGTCTTACCCTTCCTTAGGTATTGCCTTGCCTCCATCAGTGGGTGGTGACCAGAGGGAATTTAAGACCCTTATTAATGTTGCTCTGTTTTTGCTGTGGGCGTGAGCTAAGCTTAGAGAATCCCACGGGAGATTCCTGTTACTCTTCAAGTCATCAGTGAAGTGAGATCAGTGGGTCTCAATCTGAAGTACAGCTATCAACATTAAAAATTGTTGCATGCCATGACTAGAAATCTCTGCTCAGAAGAGGCCCAGGCCTGGGATGCGGGAGCTGTGGGTCAGGACAGAGGTGTATCATCCGAGCTGTTTGTGGAGAACTTGGCACAAGCAATAAAATGCACCAAGTCCATCTCTCCTAATGTACGCACATCCAGTCCTTTCCCTCCTGGTTACTCAGCACATGCAGGCCCAGTCATTGCAGATTGCTTTCTAACCCCTTTTTATTCAAAGAGGTTTGTTTTTTCATTTGACAAGTCAGGCCATGAACTGTTCAGAAAGGGGAAAGAGACACTTCCAGAAAGGAGATCCTGCAGCCTCCAGTTCAGTGGGAATGGGAGAATGAAATTGGCTCTAAATCAAGGAATCTAAAAAGGGGCAAAGTCAGTCAATAATTTGAGAGCGAGGCAGAATGTGAGTGTTGTTCGTCCCAAGAACAATATATCTGTCTGGAGCCAGAGAGGTTCTCTAGGTTATTACCTATACAAATCCAGTCAAAATGTTTGAGAAAGCCATGTCCAGGGCTGCTTGTCCGGGAGCCAGGATTTTCATTAGGAAGAGGTAAATGTTTGGAGAGCTTGGAGCGTCATTCAGAATTCCACTCGGAATGGAGTGGGGGCAGTTTTATCTTCATTTGCTGAGCAGCATGAGTAGCTGTCTTTTTCCTGTCAAAACAGATGTTCGCTCTGTCTGATGGCAGCTCAAACGCTGTCACTCAAAAGCAATTATAGTCCTGAGCCCTGGTCTCCATCCTGCCATGAATCCTGAACACCTGGCTCACGCCTGGGGAAGAACAAGAGGTCTCAAGGGAAATACAGCAACACGTGTGGAACTGGTTAATTCCAAAATCAGGTCAAGTTGAAGCTAAAGTCCCATCTGGGCATGTGCTAAAGGCCTCAGGTTTAAATAAAATGTTGATTTAAAGGCCCATACTAAACCTGCTGCTCTAACATTGAGGCATCTGATTGCTCAGCAATTTGTTGTCCGTTTTGTGGTTGAGATCAGTTTTGCTGCTTTTGGTTTGTGTGGTGTAGATGCTGTTTCAGTGCTTCTTGTTCCAAGCTGTATGTGATCTACAGAGCTGCTCACTTTGGGGTGCGGTTTCTGGTCTTGTTCAATAAAACGTGATTAAAATGGAATTCACTTTTACATCCTTAAATAGGACCAGAGGCAGCAGCTACTGTATGTGCCCTTTGTGTCTTGGTCTGTTTTGGTGTCCCTAGCCTCTGTTTGCCAGAAGCTGAGAATGAGCACGAGAGGATGGATCACTTGAGGATTACCTGTTCTGTTCATTCCCTCTGGGGCACCTGGCACTGGCCACTATCGGAAGACAGGATACTGGGCTAGATGGACCTTTGGTCTGATCCAATAGGGCCATTCTTATGTTCTTATGTTTGAGGACAACCTGTCTGTCTCTTTCCATTTAAACCTTCTGGAGATTAGAGGAGATACTAACAGCAAGCAGATAAATGTGCTGAGACCATACTCTGTGGGGGAGAGAAAGTTGTCTTCCTAACATCCTAGTGCAGATGAGTAGAGCTAATGAATTAACGGCCACGTATAACTGAACGCCTTGTCCAGGTTCTTGGCACCCTGAGGACCTGGGTTCATTGGAAACAGTAACTGAGGTGGCGCCTGCTCTCACTAATTTTTTCAGGGCTGGATTCTAAGCCAGTATTGAAAAGCTTTGCCCAGTTTTGTGGAGAAGGGCAAAGTGCCTGTCTGACATTTTTAGTAGTGCTTGGGTTGGTAACTTTCTGTTCCTACTGTTTCAACATCTGCTAAGCATGCAATTGCAGAATCTCTGGGTGGGAGTCCCAGAATGAGGAGTGTTGAGTATCTTGACAACAGTCATGTGGAAGTGAGGCCTGGGATTTATTTTACCCATCCACCCCCACTTATGGGGGTGATGGATTTTACAATTCTTATGGGAAGGTTCTCAAAATAAAGCTATTTAAAAATGCAGACCATTGTGGCTCTTGCATGGGGCAGTGTCAGTCGCCGTCTGGCTGAGGAATAATGTAAATGATGAAACCTGCAGCACACAGGTCACAAATGTGAGGACTGAGGCTAAGGGAACATACAGAATGCAACAGAGAGGATGTGCAGGAAACGAACAAGGACGAGCGCCACAGCCTCTGGGCAGCCAGGGGAATGAGAAACAGAGAATTCCCATTACATGCAGTGCCCTCTCCAGTTGCTGCACGCAGGCTGCAAGCAGAAGTTTTACTGAGCTGAAATACTAATGAGCAGCTGTAAAATATTGGTGATGCCCACCTGCTGCTCTCTAGTGAACTGAAATGTTCATCAAAATTTCAAACTTTGACAGCAAAAGAATTCTTTCCGGAACATGTTTATGCAAAACCTTTCCATTTTTTGACCAGCTGTCTCAATGCCACTCTCCCCTGTGCACCTCAATCCCTCCTACGCTCTCCCAGCCCCCACTCACTCATCCAAAGTGCTTCACAAGCTCCAGTGGTGCAGCACAAAAGAACATATTCTTTCTGTGTGGAGGGTGTCACCATGCCTCAGTGGGTCACAGCCGAAGATGCCAAATTCAGGACAAACTGATGAGAAATAGGGGAGAATCACCCCAAACTGGTGGTTATTCTATTACTAGATATACCAGCCCAGAAACTAAAGTAAACTTCTGTCTCACCACACTGGTTAAAAAGAAGTCCAAACTGCAGTGTCCATAGGCATCCCCACCCAGGCACTAGGCTTAATGATGAGTGGCTATTGAAAACCACTTTCATCAAACAAAGGTTTCTTCTTATCTCAAAATATCAACCGCATATCCAGGTCAATATATAACTTAGGTCTTACCCAATAATCACACTGTTGCCAATCCTTTAGTATCTAATATATAAAGGTTTATTTATAAGAGAAAAGAATACGGAGAGAGTTAAAATGGTTAAGGAAATCAAATACATACAATCATTGCAGGTTTGTATCAGGTTTGAAGCAGTGATGTTACAGAACACTGGCTTGTAAAGTCTCTGGTAACTTCTAAAAGATTGGAAGGTCCTCAGTTCATAATCAATATGCTACTTTTAGTGTAAGTCCAGAGATCAGAGCAGGAAAGAGGCAAAATGGACACTTTTTTTACCTTCTCCCATGTGGAGGGACTGCTCTTAGTCTTAGTTTGTGGAAAATTATAGGCACAAGATGGAGTCCAGGGTCACATGAGCAAGTCACATGGCCTTGCGTGCTTTGATGACTCATAGAAGCAGCCATTACCCGTATTTTGGCTAAAGTGTCCACAGGAAGGCTCACCAGGCTGGGACAAGCTCTATGGCCCACTATGTTCTGGAATGGGCCATCAATTTGAATGGGCCGTTCAGAATGTGCTGGCTAGACTGGATGTCAATTACCTTGTGGGTGTTACCCCAGGAGCAAACACATTTGAAATACTGGTACATAGTCAATATTCATAACTTTAGATACAAAGATGATACATGCATACAAACACGATCATCATACTCAGCAAATCATAATTTTTCCATTGACATCTTAAAATGGTATACTTTGTACAAGATTTGTTGCAATTGTCTAACAGTGGCAATATTAATGATATAAATGGTCATATCCTTACATACAGCATCACATGGGGCCAATGTATGTGGAGGTGGGAGGGGCGGCTAGTCATTTTATGCATAGCAAGAGAGGGGATTAGCAACTTTCAAAGAACCAAATCCAGATTATGCAATGTTGTTCTAGCCGTATTGACCCCAAGATATTAACGAGACGAGGTAGGAGAGGTAATATTTTTTATTGGACCAACTTCTGGACCAAGTCCGGATTAGTGAGCCAGCAAATCGTTTCAGAAGTGGCTTAGGAGACTAGTGATGAGGCAGAGACCAAGTGTGAGCCTTTGCATCCTTCGGTGGATAGGAAGGTTTGAATTTAAGTGGGAATGGTAGTTATAATACGACACGGCTGGAGATTCACTAACTTTCACTGACACTAAGCTGCTTGTGCCTACTGAGATCTTTGCAGCAAAGATGTAGAACCCAGTCCAGTGCATCTGGCTAGAGTTCTGCTGTTCAGGAATGAATTGTTAATCAGTGCAAACATGCCAGGGTGATAGGTGTTGCGTCCGAGGTCCAATGTGCTCTGCTGAATAGCAGTTTTAAAACCGATGTTTCAGGTTTGCTGGTTCTGGGAGCTAGAAAGCCTGACACTTACAGCAGGGCCTGAGCATGGAGTGTTTCTTTGGCTGTATAGACAAGGAGACTGAGCTACCTGTGTGTCTTTCCTCTTCAGGGTCTGATGCATTCCAGTGGTCCAGTCGGCCGCCATCGCCAGCTGATACTAGTTCTAGAGGGAGAACTGTACCTTATCCCCTTCGCTCTCCTGAAAGGAAGTTCCTCGAATGAGTACCTCTACGAGCGCTTCAGCCTTGTCGCAGTACCATCTATCCAGTCACTGAACCCCAACTCCAAGGTACCACTCCAGCCCCATGCTCCCAGTGCTCCTGCTGTGAGGTATGAGACATGCAGGGCCCCATCCATGCCATGTGAGAGCTGAAGTGCTCCATGCCGTACAGGCTCACCCTGCAAGGGCCCCAGACTGAGCTGCAGGGATTATTGTCTCTTCCAGCGCCATCGGCTACAAAAATGGAAACCTCAAACCGACCAACTTCCAGGGCACTGGTGCTGAATGAGCTGAGCATCCACAGCGTACTTCGATGCTTTCCAGAGCAGAGTCAGGCGCGGTCCTACCCCAAGGAGATTACAAATCATGGCGAGGCAGTGGTTGGGATTTCTTTCTTAGCTAGACTGCAGGTTCTGTGTGGGTTGAGCTCCCATGCAGACTGAGTGACCTTAAACTGAGTTTCCCTGGTGAATTAATCACATCCTAGCAATCTGCTCATATGTTTGCCTGCCTGCCTGTTCCCCTGTGGCGTTGGCCACTGATTTCTCATGACATTGAGGGCACAGGTCAAAGCTGATACTTTAAGCAAATCCTGAGGAAATACCATTTTCATTGATATATGGCAATAACCTTCTGCTTCTAAAAGCCCCAAAGTCTATGGGGAGTTCAAGGCCAACATCATACCATCAAAGAATGCCACAGTTCTTGGTCTGATTGCTCAGAACCGAGTCCCATGGTACATCCTGCATTATTGCCGTGTGAAACAGTTGTCTAAATAGGAGGATGGGCCTAATTTTATCGTTGTTGTTGATGTGTATGACTTGCAGTTCCCTATTCTGGATTAGCCCTCAGGAGTCAATCTGTCTCTGGCCAGTACTTGATCTGCCACAGCACATTTGTTGGTCAGAAGTTTCCATTGACCTGACTGCAGTGACACCCAGCTACGGTTAATTTAGAGGCCATCAATGCATATGGATCATTCACATAATTCCTTTCAGTGTCTATTACTTCGTGTTTGTCAGCAGTGAACTTCATCAGCCACTAGATATAGATTCATAGAGTTTAAGGCCAGAAGGGATCATTAAATCATCTAATTTCCTGTATATCAAAGACCATTCCATTTCACCCAGTTACACCTGTATTGAACCCAATAACTTATATTTGACCAATGCGTGTCTTCAGAAAGGCAGTCTGAAGACATCAAGAAATGGAAAATTTACCAGTTCCTTGGTAGTTTTTTGTTTCAATGGTTAATCACGCTCACTGTTTAAAAAAAAAAAGCCTAATCTATAATTTTAATTTGTCTGGCCTCAGCTTCCAGACATTATTCTTGTTCTGCCTTTCTCAGCTAGCTTAAAGATCCCTTCAGTACCTGGTATTTGCTCCGCAAGAAGATACTTATACGCTATAATTCCACACATTTGAATATTGCCACAACATTAGCACTTTTCCAGTGTTCGTAAATTTCCCCTGTATTGCAAGATTTGTTAAAAGTTATTATCAGCAGGCTAAAGATTTCCTCAGCCAACTCTTTTAGGACTTTTGGGTGCAGGTTATCTGGGCCTTTTGATTTAGAAGTATTTATCCCTAAGATATGTTTAACATCCTCCTTAGTTACTAATGGAATGGAAAATATTTCCTCCTCATGTGATATATCATCCTGCTTCTTTCCAAAAACAGAAAAGAAATATTTATTGAACTCTGCCCAATTGCCTAATTTGGTTAGGTCCCTCTGAAGCTCCTCACAGTCTTTTCTAGTCTTGACTAACCTACATAATTTTGTGTCATCTGCAACTGTTGCCAGCTAAGGAATGATTTGTATTTCATCCTTTGTAAAGCACTTTTCATCCTGAACATCCCAAAGGGATTTACAAGCAGGAATTGGTTCATTCACCCTTCACAGTACTGATTGTTTCAGAAATAGCTCATAATAGATTCCTTAAATTTCATAAACTGACAAATATAAACAAGGTCAACAGGAAAAACCTATGTTGAATGGGATAAAAAAACTTCCTAACTGTAAAAACGATTAGTCAGTGGGAAAAGGATACTTTTTCAAGCAGTATCCCTATGGGTGCTCCACTTCAAGATACGCATGTGCCCATGTCCTCTTCATTGGAGATTTTCATCAGCAGTGTCCAGCGGTCTACACCTGCGCCCTAGACACGCTCAGGCCCCTCATCGGGGACAGACCTGCCACCACTCCAGTTCCTGCTAAGCCACCTGCAGCTTGAGATGGAGCATTGCGCTGTCCTTAGCTAGGCCGTGTGGCTCAGGTACCCCTGTCTCTTATGTTTTCTGATATTTAGCGCAGTTTGTGTTGGAGGGAGAGGTCCCCCCAACTCCTTTTGCCCAATTTTTCTCGAGCCTCAACCCGAGGTCTGAAATGCCGGTTATGTCCAACATGTCAGGCTTCAAACCCTGCCAGACTTGCCACAATTCTTCCCCCTGCAGCAACAGACATTCAAGCTGCCTCCGCTGCCTTGGGGAGTCTCACATCCCCTCCAAATGTCAGAGCTGCTCAGGATTTAAGAGCAGATCTAAGAGGTTGAGGGAGGATAGACTAAAACCCCTGTTAATGGAGAGCTCACTTGCTGAGACCCGCAGGGTCCAAATCATCCCCCTGTATGTCAGACCCACCCACCACCTCTGTTCTGGCAGTAAGCAAAGACCCTGAAGTCGCTGCAGCACCACCCAGACCTTTAAAGAAGACGACCCATTCTCCAGAACAGGATAAGAGAAGGGAAAAGTCCCCCTAATCCCCCACCCCCCATCTGTGCCCCAGGAGACCTCACATCCCACTACAGGCATCACTGAGGCGCCCATCCCCTCCAGTACTGATTTCACAGCACTGGCAAAGAAGCCACGTACTGAGAAGCCTCCTAAAGTGCCATCAACCTTGGCGCCGGACCCGGTACCTTTGAACGTATGTTGAATTGTTCCCGCCTTCATCTGTCTCTTAAGACTGAGTTCCTCATACCCGTCACCTCAGCGAGGAGGATAGGGGAGCTTGGAGCTTTGATGGCTGACTCGCCATATACGGTATTTCATCATGACAAGGTGTTGACATGTCCACCCCTTGCTTCCCCTTCCAAGAGTCATTGCTCATTCCACCAGGGATCAATCTAGCACAGTAGCCATGCTGAAAAACATACCTATCCTGACAGGGCAGCCACCTGGTCCTGGGTTCATGTTTTCCTAGCAGTACACTCTTGTCAGGTCTGGATGCAGTTACATGGCTTTCGGCGAGTCTGTTCTACAATCTGAACTGAATCCACCTCCTTGGCACCCTTCTCCATGATGGAAGTACTTCTCAGAAGTCTCCTGACGTGGCGCACCCATAGGGACATTACTTGAAGAAGGAGAGGTTACTTACCTTGTATGGCAATGGGAGTTCTTTGACATGTGTGTCCCTATGGGTGCCCCCCCGCCTTGGAGTCTGACTCTTTCTACTTCCATGCTTGAGAAGGATTGGGAGTGGTGGCAGGTCCACCCATCCCTCTCTCCCCTCAGATCGGGGCACAAGGGTGTCTAGGGCACAGGCATGGACCCACGGACACTGCTGATGAAAATCTCCAAACAAGAGCACATAGGGGTGCGCATATCATGACATGGAGCACCCACACTACACAAATCTTTAAGAACTCCAGTTACTGCACCAGGTAAGTGACCTTTTCATCCTGTGGAATCCCCGTTACCAGAGCTCACCAATGCCAGACTAGATAATTAAACTACTGGGGTGCTGTACGGAGTGACTGGACTGAGGAGGAAGCATGGGCTTGTGGTTACAGCACAAGGCTGGAAGTTGAGATTTAGTTAATATTGCTGGCTCTGCCATAAACCTCCAGTGTGACCTTGGATAAGTCACTTCCCTTCTCTGTGGATCCATTTCCTCTCCCCAGAAAAGGAAGTAGTAATCCTGCCCTGCCCCTGAATGGAGTTGGTATGTAAATGAGCACAGCTTGGCTGGAAGGGGCTAAAGAAATGTAAGGCATTGTTCTAATGATAAAACCATCTTACTGTTACAGAGCCCCGGCCATCCCAGACATTCCGTGGGGAGGCAGGACGCTTGCAGAGCCACAACTACAACAGACCATTCTTTGACCCCTATTTTCTCTCTCTCTCTCTCTCTCTTTCTAGTCCCTTTTGAAGAAGAATGCTCCTGCTTATTCCAGTTCTACCTCAATGGCAGCTGTCATAGGAAATCCCAAACTCCCTGCAGCAGTGATGGACAGATGGCTTTGGGGGCCTATGCCCTCTGCAGAAGAGGAGGCCTATATGGTATCTGAATTACTTGGCTGCCAGCCTCTGGTTGGCAACGTGGCAACGAAAGAGAGGGTCATGAGCGCACTCACTCAGGCAGAGTGTGTCCATTTTGCAACCCATGTTTCCTGGAAGCTGGCTGCCTTGGTCCTAACGCCCAACGCTGATAGTAACCCAGCCAGTAGCAAGAGCTCCTTTGGGAATCCCTACACAATTCCAGAATCCCTCCGGATGCAGGATGATGCCAGTGATGTGGAGAGTATCTCAGACTGCCCTCCTCTCCAGGAGTTCCTGCTCACAGCAGCCGACGTTCTGGATCTGCGGCTTCCTGTCAAATTAGTGGTTCTCGGCTCCTACCAAGAGTCCAACAGCAAAGTCACTGCTGATGGGGTCGTTGGCTTGACACGGGCATTCCTGGCTGCTGGGGCTCAGTGTGTCCTGGTGTCACTCTGGCCTGTTCCTGTGGCCGCTTCCAAAATGTTTGTGCACGTCTTCTATGCCTCCCTCCTTAATGGAATGAAAGCCAGCGCAGCCCTCGGCGAGGCCATGAAAACCGTGCAGAGCAGCAAGCAGTTCTCCCATCCATCCAACTGGGCAGGTAGGAGGAATCTGCTTCTTGGGGCGGTTCTCACAATAAACAGGAAAGAGTTTGTAGGAGAAACAATGACACCAATTTGTGTGTGTTTGAGTTGAGCAAGGAGCTGTGCTAGCAGCAGAGTGCATGAGTAACACCATGTGCCCTTACAGCAACCAGAAGCTGTGCATCAGACCTGATTCTGCGCTAATGAGTGTTGCTGAATGGCTGGCCAGTGGGAAATAGTCGTTCTTCAATGTAACAATGGGGAGAGTATGTGTTTGACATAATTTACAGCGTATGAAATGCACCTGTCTCATCAGGCAGGTTTAATCATTAGGAAGACCTGATATGCTAAGGGCCATGCAGGCAGGAAATTACCCAGGATCCCCAGCTGATAACAGACAAGATTCCTTTTCTCCCTACAGATTACAGATCAGGATGCATCATTCTTACTGATATGTGTCTAGCACGGTACAGCAGAAAGATTTGATTCCCATTAGTGTAATGATGGGGTGGAGGGTGTTTCTTGAATGGCACTGTAACAACGGTGCTGTAATCCACTGAGGAGGATGTGTATTTCATTCAACATTTTAAAATTAAATGTGCTAGATAGTTCAGTGATGAGAAATAAGGAACCGAGACTATTCACTCTTGTTGTACCTTGGCTAGAGACTATGAGGAACCTCTAAGAACGTCCCAGAATTCCAGAGAGATGAGGCTTTTCCGGAGTTTGTAAGAATACTGGCAGTATTCCCATGACAGCAGCATTTTTCTCTAGAACTGACAGTCTCACTCAGTGCATGTCTTCTGCACACTTGGGTTAGATCATAGTGGAGCAAACTAGTGGACTTGCCACCAAAAGCTGACGTGTGACCCTAGCCATGTTGAGCATGCGAGTGTACAGGGGCAGGAGGAAGAGTTCCTTGTACTGCCATGGGGGAGGCTGATATTTGCATGGTGCACAAGCTAGCGGCCTGGGCAAAGCAGGCATCTTTCCCTAGACAGGAACAGCTCTCCATTTTCAGGCAGTGTTTAGCTTTTATTGATTTCTGTTCCTGTAAAGGAGACAAGAAGCATGCTAGGGCAAGTCTCTCTGCATTGCCACATTTTTCCACACACGTGAACAGGAAAACAGCATTGATTTCATAAACGGGGAGAGCAGAGAGCATTGAAGAAGCATCCTAGAAGTTAGGTACCTGGGTGGCATGGAGGCAGCCGTTCTGGATTCTCCCTTCTTCGTGGGTAGGCAAATAACTCAGCAAAGGGCCAAGAACTATTCATTTCTGTTAGCTTGAGGGAGGCAGAGTATTTGTTTTTCTGGGACAAGAGGAGATTACGAAGCTCTTCGTCTGAATCCTGCAGGCTTCATGCTCATTGGGAGTGATGTGAAGCTGAACAGCCCTTCCTCGCTAATTGGACAGGCCCTGACAGAGATTCTGCAGCACCCGGAGAGAGCACGAGATGCCCTGAGAGTCTTGTTACATCTGGTAAGCGAGAGGGAGCTGCCATAAGAGTATCCCCTGCAGCCCCAGAGTGGTGGCAATAAGACCCTTGCAGTCTTGCTTTGGAGAGGCTGTGAAGGCTCCTTCCAGCAGCCTGGAAAGTTCCATCGAAATGTACAGACACAAAATGTGGGTCCTTGCCTTGGAGTATGGCAGACGCCTGCTCTTAACTTTTGGAAGGTGATGTCATCTGTGGCAAGGTGTCTCTGAATGTTGAATGGGTGGGGAAACATTTCAATTTAACTTCAGGAGTAAACCCCCAATCCTCCTCCTCCTCCCTCACTCTGTGTCATCCCTGCAGCTACGCCCTGTCCCTGGGAGAAGAAGGGGACACCAGAGATTCACCTTGCTAGCATGACAAATAAAATCCCTCCCTCCGACCCAGCTGGTTTGCATATGCTGCTGAGCGGGTCTGTGCTTTGAAAATGAGATTGTCACTAAGGTTAATTGTTTCTATGACAGAATTGCTGTGAACTAGACAAGAAGTAGGGAGGTGAGAAGGAAGACACTGTAGTGTGTCTCCTTACTTGCTAGCCAAGTGATCACGCTCTCTGTACAGATGTTAAGGACTGATGGCTTCGAGCCAAGAATGAACACTGCAGTTCAGAACAGAGCAAGCTCTAAAGCAGCAAGGTTTGTTAGACAGAAGAACTGACTCTTTGGGTCCTTCCCATGATACTGCCTGACGCAGAACATTCTGTTCAGCTGACAGCTTTCACCAGAAAATACCACACTGAAATCCACGGGGTTTAACCCCAAAACAGCAGCACACATGGAAGTTTAACGAGACGGTGGTGTTCCCATAGGTACCAATAACCAGCTCTGGGGAGCAGTGAATGTTGCGACCGATGTGATCTGTAGGTAAAACTCTGGGATGGTTAGAATATGATCCTCTCCCATCGGTGTAACACTTTTCCTCCGAAAGGACCCTCCTAGTTTCCTTAGGGGCAATGTCCTGTTGTAATGGCAGCATTAGTCGACTGAGAATGATGATCCCAGCTGCACCAGGCTGGAAAGGGAGGAGGGTTCTACTTTTGCTATTTACCATCCAAGTGGCAAGTCTGCACATGGAACATGATAACCTGGTAGTCAGCAGCAGACCCAAGAGGCTGGAAACCATAACTCAGCGTTTCTGGGGGGACAAATACAGCCACCTGGCTTATGGGAAATCGTCCCTTCGGGATAGGCTGGAAAATGGGCCGATTCCTCCTCCCAGTCAAACATGTAGCCTAGTTTTCCATGGCCCTCATCTGCCCAAGATGCTGCTATAGGCTGCCTGACTTCTCATTTTACAGCTATACGTGAATTAGTGGAGCCTCTAGTTCCAAAGGGCCCTGACCACCTCCTGTCTGGGGCTGATTGCCATGTAGTCTGTCACCCAGCCCACCCCTTGACCTGAGATGCCTTTCTGCTCCTGACACTGCAGAACGAGGAAAGGGTTAATGATAAACTTTCTGCAGAATAAGCTAATGCAGTCTTTTGCCCCGGAAGGTGGAGAAGTCGCTGCAGCGAATCCAGAACGGGCAGCACAATTCCATGTACACTTCTCAGCAGAGTGTGGAGAATAAAGTTGGCGGCATTCCAGGCTGGCAGGCGTTACTCACTGCTGTGGGGTTTCGACTTGACCCTCCTGCGAGTGGTCTTCCAGCTGCAGTTTTCTTCCCAACTTCAGACCCCGGTGAACGGCTACAGCAATGCAGCACCACCATCCAGTCCCTCCTAGGTAAGGAAAAGGCCACAGGGAGCTCTGGCATCATCTGCCTTAGCAGGCTCTTGTCCACCTGCTGCCTCTTGGATGGGAGGAGTGAGAAATCTCACTGTTCAGATGTTGTTCTGTGCTTTTACCGGGACCAAGTAAAATCACAGAATGGGACTGTTGCTCCCAGCATAGTCCTAGAGCAGGCTTTGCAGTGAGAACATGGCTGCTTCAGCCAGAGATTCCATTCATTTCCCTCTGGTCCCAATACCCGAGGAGCCAGGGCATTATTGTTCCTCTGTCCCTGCTCCCAGACGGGAGTTCGCTCATCAGGGAAGCTGGGCCCATGTGTCGCTTTGGGATGGTTTCTCTCAGGCAGTTCAGAGGCAGGTTTGAACAAACTTTATGGTTTCTGATTTTTTTCAGGTTTGCCTAACCCGGCACTTCAGGCACTTTGCAAACTTATTACTGCTTCAGAGACTGGAGAACAGCTTATCAACCGGGTGAGTAGGGTGGTGACGCTACAGCACCATGCCGCAAATCCTTTTTCCTAGGGTAAAGGAGTCCAGAGCCACTAGCAGAGCAAATAGAGAGAGTGGCTTTTGTGTCCAAAGTTCAAAACCTGTCTCTCTTGTCTGCTTGAGTGAGTGAATGCCTTGGCACGTGGGTGCAGGCACGCTGCTGGACTTCTCAGCTCAGTGACAGAACAGAGAGCATGTAACATGCACACCAGTCGTGCTGTTCAGTACAGCTGAGGCTGGTGGGATCCTAGCATTGAGGGATGGAAAACTTGATTAGGTCCCAGTCAGCCTATTACCCTAAGAACTTGTACTGGGCTGTTCCCTTCAGGATATTCCCTAATGCTTCGTCCAGTGCCTCTCAGACCTGTGCTGTTACTTGGGGGCAGCTCGCAGCTCTGCCAAACAAGTTTCCAGCCTTTGTAAGATCCACTGTTGTGTGGGAATGCACTACTGCCTGTAGCTCCATTACCCCAGCCTTCCTTACTCTTCCACCCTGTCCGTCCTGACCCAGCTCTCTATCATTGTGCCCTCAGCATGGCTGGCATGCTTCAACATGTTCATCTCCTGAGTTCTCTTCAGACCAGGCCATTTGTCTGCCCCAGCAGGTGGGCGCACAGTGAGTTGTGAACAGGCATGTAGCTCACCATCCCCGTGTCTTGCACAGATATTTTCCTGACCACCAGTATCAGGTTTTCTAGAGAAATAAGTCAGTGGGCAGCTGGGACCTGTGCCCTCTCTGCCAGACATTCCCACTTTAGCTAAGAGGCCTTCCTTTGGATTGTCAGGCCAAGAGTCCCTGTGCAGGAATCACACTGCCAGTGCTGCGGCTGTGCAGACAACCATTAGGAGGGCAGCCCAGAGTAAATGGAACAGGTAGTTTAAAGGACAACGATCTAACATTCTCTATAAAAATGTCCACATGACTGTTTCCTGTTTGCGTTCTTGTTGCAGCCAATTAAATCACCCAAGAAAAAGCAGACGTCAGATGGCTGCTTGCAGCTAACAATGGTGAGCTAACTCACCATTTCCCCAGCTGCCTGCTGCAGCAAATAGCAGAAGAGATGTGCATTGTTTCTGCAGATGTTCTTGTGCAGGCCAAGCCCCAGACAGGAATAGTGCTGGCTGGAAATTAGGGTTCAGCCCAGCTCTCCCCTCTGCTGCAGCCCATCCCCCCGGAAATTCTCTCGAGGTCCCTTCCAGTCCTACAGGTCTATGAAAACTACAGGGGAACGATTGACAGCCACGGCCCATGGACACTATTTCCTTCCCAGCTCCAGCTTGTGCCTCTGTAGTATGCATGGAGCAGGGCTCGTTCTCCTGAATGCGTCTGTCATCCCTTTCGTTTTGCATGAATGTGACAATACAGCAGACACCACGCCTGGGTACAGGGGCTGATGGAAGCTAGGCTCCTTGAAATGCAAAGCCCAGAACCCTACTGCCCCCCACAATCTGAGAGGAAGGCAGCCAGTTTGTAATGCTAAAGGTTGTTTATGTTCCACCTCCTGTCAAAAGATGGACGGGGCTCATCTCCTCACTGGCAGGGTTGTAGCTGCCTGGGAAGTGCCAGCTCTGGTTTTAACAGCTTAGGGACTTCCAGATTCCAGCTGCCTGTTCCTGCTTGTTTGGTCCCTTCACTCCCCACCCTCATTTTCCCTTCTCCCCCTGCTCTGTGCTGTGCCTCTTGCAGGAGGGGGCTGGCTTGTGATGATCTACTCAGCCCTACAGGGCTTCATGCCATGCTCACTCCATAATGCAGAATAACCCATGTTTGTTCTTTCTTTCCTTCTCTCCTTTTCTCTGTTCTTATCTGCTACCTGAAGGCTGTTAAAAATATGGTGGGAATGGTGAGTACCCCACATTCCAGGGAACATTACTCCTCTGCAGAGGCACGCCCTGGGCTCTGGAAAACCCTTTCCCTGCGTTACGGTTTAATAGTCACCAAATTTTTAGGCCTGGGATTTGCTTAATTACTGCTAATGGGGAGAAAGGACATTGTGGTGTTGGGCCTGTGCCACAGG